ACAAAGTTATTAAAAACAACAAGGACAAATGTTTCTGAAGGATGTGAATTTTAAAATTCAATTCAAACAAGCTGAATTCCACGTCCACCTATATTATGGATGTTTTTATATCTGCTCTCTTTCAAAAAAAAATCTCCTTGGGCCTACATACACTCACATGTACCAATAATCTTGCGGGGTCAATAATCTGCCACAAGTTTCAATTCGTCAATAATAAGCTACTAACTCGACTGATGTTCGTTTGATGTGAAATGATATCAAAGTGTCATGCTGTCCCGACTGATGATATCCTTGATGTTGTATGTACATCGACATGTGCACTGCACACAGCAGCTTATGGCAAGCAACAATTGAACATCACTCTGATGGGTTGCACACCACCGTTATGAAGAGACCAAACAGCACAAAAAAACACCAACATACAACACGACAAGCAAATGGCAGGAAAAGTAAAGCGACAAACAAGCAAACAAACAAACATACATACAAACAAACTAACAAACATACAAACATACATACATACAAACGAATACTAACAACTCCAAACATCAAATCATCGTCACTCCTCCACTCGGCAATTTTTCATATTTTATTCAGGTTGGCACGTCAAATGACATGCTGTCGATTGCACGCATTTACACATGCAACCCCAAATTATATATTCTTATTATTTACATGCATTTTATTGATGTGTGCATTTATGTGTGTGTGTGTGTGTGAGTATGTGTGTGCGAATGTGTGTGTGTGTGTGCGTGAGTGAATGTGTGTGTGTTTGTGTGTGGTTTGTGATTTGAATGTAGCCAACAATTACTTGTTTAAAGAATATGATCCATTCCTATTTGAATTTTTATATAAAAATTTTTTCATTATTGTATTGCGTATAAATGTAAAGGTATAGGGGTATAAAAATACCAGAGTATTTCTCTGTAAGATAGTGTATTTCAGTGTATTTCAGTGTGTGACAAAAAATTAATCTCGCTTCTATATATAGGAGAGCTATTGATTTACGGTACGAAAACATTCCTAATGAAGAAATACTTTTTTTTACGCACATACGTTTGTAACAATGTACAGTTTTAAGAATAATCTTTGTTGGTTTGTGTATGTGTGTGGGCATTTGTGTGTGTTGTGTATGTATGTATGTATGTATACATGTATGTATGTGT